CAAGGGGGGGGTGCGAGGGCACGCGCTGATCGGCAAGTCAAGGAATCAAAAAAAGATCATCATCTGGTCTTCCGTGGATCGATATGCGCCTCCTCCCTCCTCCTCCTCCTCCTCCTCCTCCTCCTCCTCCTCCGCCTTCTCCTCCTCCTCCTCCTCCTCCTCCTCCTCCCCCTCCTCCTCCGCCTCCTCCCTCCCTCCCTCCCTCCCATCCTCCCTCCCTCCCTCCCTCCCTCCCTCCCTCCATCCCCCTCCGACCCCTCCGCCCTCCACCCCATCCTGCCCCTCCCCGCCGCCTCCCCCTCCTCCCGCCCCTACCCTACCCTCCCTCCCGTCCCTCGACCGCCCTCCTCCCGATCCCTCCCTCCCTCCCTCCCGATCCTCCTCCTCCTACTCCTCCTCCTCCACCTCCTCCTCCTCTCCTCCTCCTCTCTCCTCCTCCTCCTCCCCTCCTCCTGCCTCCTCCTACCTCCTCTCCTCCTCGCTCCACCTCCTCGCTCCTCCTCCTCCCACCTCCGTCCTCCACCTCCTCCCCCTCCTGTCCACCACCTCCCCCTTCTCCTCCTCCTCCTCCTCCTCCTCCTCCTCCTCCTCCTCTTCCCTCCCTCCTCCTCTCCTCCTCCTCCTCCTCCTCCACCTCCTCCTCCTCCTCTTCTTGCTCCTCCCCTCCTCGCGGCCTCCTCCTGCTCCTCCTCCTCCTCCTCCTCCTCCTCCTCCTCCTCAGCAGACTTCTCGGAAGGCATGGGGGAACTTCCGAGCTTCCTGCGAGAAGGCCTCCTCCTCCCCCTCCCTTCCCCCCCCTGGGCTCGCCGCCGCTCGGCGGCCCTGGCCATCGGGCCAGACGCCGCAGAGCACCGCACCGCAGGGAGGGGGCCCGGCCGGTGGCCCACGGGACTCTGCGCGGAGGCGCCGCTTTGTCGCCCCCGCGCCCGCGGGCGATCCCCGCCGGGCCGAGCCCTTGCATCAGGTCGGGCATGTCCTCCTACAGGCGGATGTTGTACGAGAATTAAAAATTATCCCAGTGCGACCCAACCTAGGAGTTGGAGGACCTAGGAAAGCAACATCTATATGAAGCTAAGCTAAGCTAAGATGAAGCTAAGCTAAGATGAAATAGGCTAAGCTAAGATGAGATAAGCAACGCTAAGGGAACGTCACTGGGGGAACCGCGGAACGGATGCCGGGGGAACCGCCCGGGGCGAGTTGCACTACCCGGCCCTTTAAGCTTACCGAGTAAGAACCCTTCTAGGCAGAGCCCAGGTAGGGAAATACGCAGAACATGCTCCCAAATAGTCAAACACAGTCCGAAAATCGTCATCCCCAGACTGATGTTTTAATTATGTGTTGGACATTCCTCCTGTAGAGGGGAAGGCCCGACTTAAGCCTGGCAGGACGGAGTCCAGCCCCCCTCGCGCTCAGGGAAGAGGAAGCGCACCACCGCCACGAGCTGCAGCAACAACGATGCTTGGATCAAGTGTGGCAACAAAAACACTTGAGCCTCCAGTGCAAGTGTGCCAACAAGAACTGAGAGTGAGGAACAACTAAAATGTGATAACAAAACACTGGGCTTGTTTTTATCACCCTTGAGCCGAACATCGTTGCCACTGCAGCTCGTGAATGCACATGATTTGCAAATTTAGTTGAGCCGAGAACCGTTGGCACTTGAGTCACACTTTAGCTTTCAACGCCCTTCTGACGGGGGACTCCACTGACGGGTACTTTGGCGAGTGACCCAGCGAAACCAACCCTGCCCGATGTGGCAATGCCAGATATCGAGGCCCTGAAGTGGCAACTTTCGGCAAGTGTTAATGAATGCCCGTTACGGTCTGGATCGGCGGCAAGCCGTAGGGGGAAGTGAGAGGGGGCGGGCCTTCTCAGGCGGCTCTGAATTGAGGGATGAAACAACGACGCTACCCTGGGTTACAAGTGCGTGGTCTGTAAACCTCCTGGGAACCCCCAAAGCCTAGAGCCGCCAGGACGCGGCACATCACGCAGGGTTTACCCTGTCAGCCCACAGGAGTTTCAGCGCACAGCGCCTCGTGAACCAGGGTAGGGGCGTTTTTTATCCCCTTGACTGAAGGCCCCTGGCCTTGCGAGGGGAAGTTCTCTGAGCCTCCCCCGAAGACGCAGACAACCTCTCTCAGAAGGCGCGTGGGCCTCGGAGAAGCCCCGCCGCAGTCTGAGAAGGCCCTCTCCTCCTCGCGCTTCCCCCCCCCCTCGCCCCCCGCCGGGAAGAGGAAACGCACCACCACCATCACCTGGAGGGTGGATGCAGAGGGTAGTGTTGAGTCGGGCCTGTCCCCCTGCAGGGGGACCTTCGACGAAAAATGAAAGATACCCCCAAAATCATACAAAGATAATCCAACAATATTCAGGGGACTATTCTTTGATTATTTTTTGACCTTTTGGGTGTGTTTTTGTTTTTTTTATACTCCTCGTCGACAATCCCCCTGTAGGGGGACAGGCCCGACTTAAGGGTAGTGAGGGGAGGTGATGATGGCGAGGCGCTCTCGCGAACACCCGCATCCTGAACATCAGCTCATCCCTGCGCACCCCGAGGTGGTGGCGGTGCGCTTCCTGCTGCCCAAGCGCTGGGAACACAAGTCTTATGTCGGGCGTGTCCCCCTACAGGGGCATTTTCGAGGAAAAATGTAAAAAATACAAACAAACAAAAAATGCCCCCCAAAGGTCAAACAAATACTCAAATAGTAATTCCCTGACTATTTTTGGATTTTTTGGGGCTATTTCGGTGGTATGTTTTATTTCTCGTCGAAAATCCCCCTGTAGGGGGACAGGCCCAACTTAACACAAGCCCTCAGAGCCCTCACCGCGCCACGGACCGTCAAGCAACAACTGAGGATGAAAAGTGGCCCTGGGGAAAGGGTCGACACTCGTGGGGCCCGCGCTTCGGAGGCAACAGCAAAAACCACGCCGGAAGCCTGTGCTCGGCAGGAGGGGAGGCATTCCCCCCGCCCTCCTCCTCCCCCTCGTACTCATGCTCCCTCCCCGTTCCCCCGTGGGGACGCGCAGCACCTCGCTCCAACTCTTGGGCGGGAAACCTGGCAGGGGAGTGGGGGGGAATCCTGGTGGAAGGAGGCCCTGGACCCCCGCAGCGTCCCATCCTGCATGGCGTTCTGCCGGCCCTGGGGCTCGGGACAAAGGCCCGGCGAGCCCGAAGGCGGCGAAGCAGCGCCCGAGGGCCCATCTCCTCCAGAGCCTCTCTGCTTCACGGCGAGAACCGAGCCAGGGGCCGCGTTCAGCAGGTGGGCCCTCTTGGACTGCAAGACGGTGGGGGCGTTGGATCAGGAACCCTCAGATAAGGAATCCAGGGTCTCGAGGCCAGTGGAACTCAAATCGAGGCTTGGCCATGGATACAGTGCGGGCGCGGCCGCAAGAAACCCTCGCAAGAAACCCAACCCTGAGAACCCGTGCGCGAGGTGCACCTGCGGGGGAACCCGGAGCACCCTGAACGCAGCAGCTCCTTCAACGGCTGCGGGAGGTCACCGCGCAGCGCGAGGAGCGAAGAAACCCAGGATACCCTGACGAAAAGCATATGGTTTCTTGATGCGCGCCCCCACCCTTAAGGGAACGAACGATGACATAAACATAAAAAAACTCAGAGGTCCGCGCGGATTTCTTGGATCCGCGCTGGACCCCCCTCCCTGGCGCGCGGAGCGCGCCAGGGGCGGCGCTGGAGGCGCCGCCAGGGGGCTCCAGCGCCGATCCGAGAAATCTGCGTGGACCTCAGAGTTTGTATGTTCCTGTCACTCTCCGTTCCCCTGACTCTACCGCCGCCGCCCTCATCAGACAAGGAAGTCCCGCGGGTCTGCAGCATCCTGGGCGCAAGGAGGAGGAGGATGAGGAGGAGGAGGAGGAGGAGGAGGAGAAGGAGGTAGGAGGAGGAGGAGAAGGAGGAGGAGGAGGAGGAGGAGGAGGGGAGGAGGAGGAGGAGGGAGGAGGAGGGATGGGAGGGAGGGGAGGAGGAGGGAGGAGGGGGATCCCTTGACCAACGCCCCCCCCCGCCGCAGCGGGAAGCACACGCGAGGCACCTCGTGGAGCGGCTGGTGCCTCCCGCGGGGCCTCGCGGGGGGAGGCCTGCAGAGGAGCGCCGCGCGGGGTCGGTGCGCCTCTGGCCCTCCAGGAGCTCCACGGCGCTCAGGGGACGGCCGCGAAGAAGGGGGGAAGGGGGGTGAAGTGCAGCACAACCTCCTCCTTCTCCTCTCCTCCTCCTCCTCCTCCTCCTCTTCCTCCTCCTCCCCTCCTCCTCCTCCTCCTCCTCCTCCTCCTCCTCCTCCTCCTCCTCCTCCTCCTCCCTCTCCTCCTCCTCTTCCTCCTCCTACCTCCTCCTCCTCCCTCCTCCTCCTCCCTCCTCCTCCTCGCCTCCTCCTCCGCCTCCTCCTCCTCCTCCTTCTCTTATATGCTTCGTCTTTTTCTCTTTTTCCTTTCTTCTTCTCTCCTCCTCCGCCTCCTCCCTCCTCCTCCTCCTCCTCCTCCTCCTCCTCCTCCTCCTCCTCCTCCTCCTCCTCCTCCTCCTCCTCCTCCTCCTCCTCCTCCTCCTCCCCCCCGGGGAGAAGGAAGGGTAGGTCCCCGAGCACAAAAAAAACGTCCACGGGGAACCCGTCCCCGAGACCCCAGGGCGTCCACTGACTTTTGGTGTGGGAGCGCCACGCTCTCGACATTAAAACCGTCGACGCCCAGGAAACCCACGGCACCGCGGAGGCAAGCAGGGTGCTTCTTGGCATGGGCCTCCACCATAGGCCCAGCCGCGCGCCAGGGTACACAAAAAGAAGACCTGGGAGGGCTCGCTCGCTCTCTCTCTCTCTCTCTCTCTCTCTTTCTTTCTCCCTGTCTCTCCCAGTCTCTCCCCATCTCTGTTTCTTCTTCCCCTCTTGCTGATACCTCGCAACCGAATCTGACGCAGGTGCACGTGCCCATGATGAGCCGCAAACAGCATTCCCTATCATGCTGATTACGCCGATGGTGCCCAAGAGGCAAAAACGAGTGACCGAGTCAGCCGACGGGTCGGCAACGGTGCGCGTCAGCACGACGTTCAGACGTCCAGGTAAAGGCCTTGACTGCAAAGGCAAACATGTATCATAATCAGAGACGGGCTTGCACAGCAAGAGGTACGCGAATCGTGCCAGTCCATCCCCGAATGCCGAGATCCTTCGCGCACCCTTGGTATAGATCAGCCAGTATCGAATCGGAAAGCTGATCGAATCGGAACGTGCGTCGGATTAGGTCGCATCTGCACGGAGTCGGGACAGCATCGGGTCGGCCGCGTCAAGACGAACAGCAGCGCCATACAGTGGGGGTCGATGCACAAGGAACCCACCGCAAGAAACCCAACCCAAGGTTTCTTGGTCCAGGGTCGGGTGTCCTGCACTTCGGCTGCAAACGAAGACATCCAAAAACCCAAGGCGATCGAGAATGCGAGCTGCGGGCCTTGCACAAACAGAAAGATCACGACGTCTCCTCGGGGAAAAAGAAATTACACCCGAGAAAAAACCCAACCAGTGGATGGTTTGATCGATCCGGAATTCGACCAGGAACCCCAGAACCCGGAACCCACCGAAATCGTAACCAAGAACCCGGGAACCCGGGAACCCCGGGAACCCAGCCAGCCAGCAACATCGGCGGGACGCTTTCGCCACATCTTTCCATTTCCGCGGGGACTATATGCAAGCACTGCCCGGGGCACTCTGCGCCCATTCGGCGGGCCAAGGAACCCTCATAAGGTGCCCCGAGGGTGCCCGGAAGCTCCTGGGAGGCTCGGGCGAGCGCCCCGAAACGGACCGACGCCCGAGACACCAAGGGCGCCCTGCCATCTCCAGCTTTTTGAAAGGGGCCCCAGGACACACAAATAAATACACACAAATACAAATATTCCCCATATGTTTCAATATTTTCTGGGTTTCTGTCTTCCCCCCCACTTCCCATACTTTCCCATATTTTCTAGGGAATCGGCGATTAATTGTGTCTGCGTGTTTCTTTTCCTCCTGACTTTTGTCGAGACTGCGGCGACCTCCCGCGCCGCAAGCCGGCCACAGAAACCCAGGGCACCCCGCCGAACGTGGGGTGCTGCTTGCTGCGCACGAGCACGGGGCCGCATCGGACCCTCGTCGGCTATGCGCAAGAGTGACCCTGGGTAAGAGTGACCTTTGGTGCGCGACTTTTTGGGGGCCGCGGGGGGACCAAACCTGGGTGCGCAGGCAGCTGCTACTGCTCCGTTTTCGACCATCTGGGTACCCATCCGTCCCCGCACCAAAGGTCACTCCGGCGAAAGGCCACTCCCACGTCGAGGCGACCCCGGAGCGGCGAGGCCGGATCGGAGCGGACCCGCCGGGGTGGACATCGGCCAGGAGCGGTCGGAGCGACATGGGCCCCGCGTCGCGCCTGGACCCCGCGGGCCGCCCGCCATCGGCCCGAGCGCTCCGCCGCCGAGGACCGAGAGCGAACCCAAACATCCAGCGTGGCGTTAGGTCGGGCATGTCCCCCTACAGGCGGGTTGTGGGCGACAGATTAAACAATGGTCAAAACATACGCCAACATAGACAAAAATGATCAGACATCCGCCCCCCAGATTATTGTTGGACTGTTTTTGAATATTCCTCCTGTAGAGGGACACGCCCGACTTAAGCGTGGCGGTCTCTCGGCACCCGGCCCCAGAGAGATCTGGACACCCCCCGTCCCGGGCATCGGCGCTGCACCCCTTTCGACGGCCACGCGGCCCACCAGGGGCCCCTGGATGCCGAAACGCGCCGAAGACCCCCCGTCGATGCGACGGAGGGCGTTCGTCGCATCGGCGCCGCCGGCCACCCCACGGCGAAGATGTCGGCGGAGGCGCCCAGGAGGCAGCGGTGTGCCCGTGGGGCGACGTCGTCGCCCACTCGAGGAGGAAGAGGAGGAGGAGGCGGAGGAGGAGGAAGTGCAAGAAGAGCAAGAAGAGGAGAACGAGGAGGAGCACGAGGAGGCTAAGGATGAGGGACTGAGGGACTGACTACGTCAGATCGGGTGACCTGCTCGGCACTACGGCCGCAGCGCCGCGGGACAGGTGTCTTTTTTCTTCCCACAGCCGAAGTGCGGGAATGCACCAACCAAAGCCGAAGCCTCAGAGGGCCGCGCACGGCCCGAAAAGGGGCCCAAACCAGGAGGGCCAGGAGGGCCAGGGAACCCGCCCCAAGGGACCGAGACCCCGCGGACAGGAAGACGACACCCCCCCACAGCGCCCACCCCGTCAGGCCTCTGCCAGCTTCTCCTCCAGGTGCGGCTTCTCCGGCCGACCTGTTGCTCAAACCATAGCATGAAGATATTGAGCTTCGCCTGGCCTGAGGCGCCCAGGCCGTCGAAGCGGCCGTCCGCGATGAGCTGCAGGGTGACCTTGGGGTCGAAGGTGCTGGAGATAGGGCTCTCCTCGAAGTCGGTGGACCCCGACGCAACGTCGAGCGCCAGTTCCGACTCGTTGAGGCCCTGCACCGTGTGGGCCACCTCCGAATAGCTGCACATGACCTCGATGTCCCCCTTGGACTCCGCATTGCAGCAACCCGCGCACTCCGCGACCGCCGTATGGCTGAGGGCCTCGAGGTGATCACGCTCCTGCTTCAAATGCCATGCGACCTCCATCGACTCCATGAGCTCTGACGCCAAGTCCTGGAAGGCCAGCCCGAACTCGACGTCGTCCTGGAAGCTGCTCTGCAAGGTCTGCACGCTCGCCTCCAAGAAGTTAGTTCATCACCCCGTCCGAGTGGTGGCCGAAAGCTCTGTCGGCGCCGTTGCCCCCGAAGCCGCTGTCGTTGAGTGAGATGCATCTCGTGCGACGCTTGGCCTCCAGAAGCTTCCTGGCCAGGGGCCGCTCGGTCGCCGCGCTCTCCAAATGGGCGCTTTCCATATTGTCGCTTTCAGTGTCCGCTTTCCCGCGAGCCCAGCGCGTTGCCCTCGGCCAGTTGGGGCCCAGCGCCTCGTCCTCGCCCTCCTCGCTCCCCTAGTCGGACGCCACGCTCTTCTTGGCCAGCAACTTCGTCTTGCACCAGGACCGCGGGTCCTTCTTGTCCAACTGGATCCAGCTTCTCTGAAACCAGAATGCCGCCGTCCTCGCACTGCTTGATGGGGCCCTCGACGGTGACTTCAGCGAACGACGCTCCCGACTCGCCGACCGCCCCGCCACCTGCTTCAGAAGGCCACAGCCAAGGCCCACCTTGTCCTTGAAACCCTGCAGCTCCCTGTAGCCGAGCCCCATCGATGCCAATGGTTGCTCCGTGTGGCAGGCTGCCAGACTCCTTAGGTCCACAGCAAACGGCCGCATCGCTGTCGTCTTGGAAACCGCCATTGATGCTGAATTGGCCTCCGCACAGCGCCACCTGCCACTCGAAGGTCTCCCCGCTGCCGAAGTCGAGGTCCTAGAGAAAACGCCCCACGACTTGCCCGGCACCTGCCAGTCCAACGAATCCTTCGCTGACGAACAGTTACACTGGTCTCATGCCCGCATGGCTCGTCGCGGCGGCGCCGCTTCGAATCGCGCCGCGGCAATCCCCACGTGCCCCGCGCGGAGCCGAAATGGCTAGGCTAAGGCTAAGGATGAGGAGGATGAGGAAGAGGAGGGGGAGGAGGAGGAGGAGCAGGAGGAGGAGGAGGAGGACGAGGAGGAGGAGGAGGAGGAGGAGGAGGAGCAGGAGGAGGAGGAGAGGAGGGGGGGGAGGACGAACATGTCGACAAGCACGCCGAAGCGGCAGCGGCGTGCCCGTGGGGAAGCCCTGGGGGTGGAGGCAAAGCGGGGCCTCCACAGGTCCGAGGCAGCAATCGAATATTATTGAAAAAAGGCTTCTGCACATGGTTTATGTCTGGGGGGAGGAGGGGGAGGAAGAGGAGGAGGAGGCGGAGGAGGCAGGAGGAGGGGCAGGAGGAGGAGGAGAGGAGGAAGAGTTTTGTTGGGAGGGGCGGAGAGAGAGGAGGAGGAGGAGAGGAGAGAGGAGGCGGAGGAGGAGAGAGGAGGAGAGAGGAGGAGGAGGAGGAGGGAGGAGGATGAGGAGGAGGAGGAGGAGGAGGAGAGCAGGAGGAGGAGGAGGAGGACGAGGAGGAGGAGAGGAGGAGAGAGGCAGGAGGAGGAGGAGGGGACGAGGAGGAGGAGGAGGAGGAGGAGGAGGAGGAGGACGAGCACGAGGAAAAGGAAGAGGAGGAGGAAGAAGAGGAGGAGGAGGCCTTTGGCATCCAAAGGCCGTTTCCGGGCCCAAGGGCCGCCAGGAGACGAACCGAGATGGGACGCCGGCTCTTGGGGGAGGGGGGCCGTGGCCTCCCCTCGAGAGCCCCGTGTCTCGAGCGAGCCGAGCCGCCAGGATGCCAGGAGAGAGGGGGGCACAAGCAGTTCCCCTCGGGTCATGGAAAAAATCACGACGGAGGGTTTCCCGCATTTTCTGCATCTGGGGGCCCTTGCCGGGACCGTCAAGGAACGACTCGGGATGCAAAGACGGACCTGGGGAACGGGGCTGTACCTGTGGGTGTCGCGTCGTGAGGAAAGAGAGAGCGCGTTTCACGGGCGCTTGCCTTGGGAACATTCGGCGACGCGTTTCGAGCCGCGGGGTGGGCCCCCCCCGAACACCCCCCCAAACACCCCCCTCCCGACCCCACCCACCCCTCCCCAAGGGGGTGGGGTTCAAGAGCCCCCCCCCCCTCGGCGCAGGCGCCGGCGCCGGCGCTGACGGCCGCCAGCAACGCCGACGGCGGGGACGCAGCGACGATGACCAAAGACAACCTATAGTGGGGGGGGTTCAAACCCCCCACCCCCCTGGCGCCGGCGCCGGTGGTGGCGGCGGCCAGCAGCGCCGGCGTTGGCGCCGGCGACGGCGGGGACGCAGCGACGATTACCACCACTACACCCACCACAACTACCACCACCACCACAATTTACCACACCACCACCACCACCACAATTTACCACACCACCACCACCACCACCGCCGCAACCACCACCACCATTACCAGCAGCATAACCCACCACCGCCACCACAAACCC